GTTTTAGATAGATACAAATTATTGTCAAAATGATCCCTGAACCACCTGTTGGTATACTATTTTCAAAATAAAAATGCTTACAATTTTTAAAATACATTTTTTCCTTCCCATATGTTTAGTATTAAATTTTGAAAATTTTGAAAATTGTTTCCCAAAACTTGTATCAATTTTTGCCTTTTTTTATTCATACCGTGTGTTTGTGTCTGTATTTTAAGAGCACATTATGGCTATATTTTTTATCAATTTTATTTCAGTCATGAAATGAGACAATAAATTGACAAAAAGTAATATTTTTAATATAATTGTATTTGTTGTTTGTATTTTTTCCCTTTAGATATCACATGCAATTGAACTCAATTATAAGTTACAGTAAACTTTCAATTTTAATAAACAAAAGTCTCTTTACCGCAGAAAATATAGTTTTATGTTTTTATCTAGGATAGTTTAGTCCGTATATAAAATCAATAAATGAATTTACTATAATTGGGTGGAGGTTTTAATAAAATATCAAAAAATTACTTTGAATTTAATGTACCATATATATAAATATAATCCAGTTAGATAATTTAATAAAGTAGTTTATTATTATGCTGGATATTTTATTGCAATAATAAGTTATGTTATATTTATATAATGCAATTTATATACAGTATATGCAATTAATTTTGTGTAACATTCAATATAAACTGCTATACATTTTAAAAATTATTAGTATACCATATTTATGGGCTATAAATAATGGTAGATGACTAGCTAACTTTAAAAGTACACTGTTATTTTCATTTTGCAAATTCATTGACATTTTTTTGTTTAAATAATCTTTTGTCTTATGTATGGCAAAGCTATTGATTTAATGGATATTTATTCATTGTGTGTGCAATAAGTCATTCAACTCATGGAAACGTTAAGCAAAATATAGTTTTCACTTTCGATTGATTTCTTGGAAAATATATTTAATTAAAATAGAAATAATTTTTTAATGAGAAAACTTTGGAAAACTTTTGAAAATAGATAAGAATTTTATTGATTTTTTTGGAGAGAGAGAGAGAGAGAGAGAGACTAAGAGAGCTAATCATTAATCATTTGATTACTTCATTACACTCTTATATATGATTTTATTGACACATATTTTTTGTGTGTATTTTAAATGAAAAAATATATAAATTCTCGTTTCGAAAGTCATTATTTGAATTGATTTTTATGTCACAACACCAGCAAAAATAAAAATCTTATTGAAATGAGTTTCCCATTGCATTTGACTGAACACATAAAACGCTGAGAAGTCATAACATTTTCATTTCAATCCAATTAATAGTAGTTTTTATGAATGAAAGTAAACGCAAAAGTTTTTTTTGGTCATATTTTACGCCTCAATGAATGCGAAACTAGTTTTTTGATTGAAATTTAAATCTCATTGCTTATGAACATACAGTACACTCGCTGTTAACTGTGGTTTATGAGTAAATATAATTTAAATAAATATATTATTTGTGAATTTAATTTATGGATATTATGCAAAATATAAATTTTTATGTAAAATACTCAAAAAATTAACACCAATTTTGTGTATATTACTATAATTATGAGAATCTATTTTTATTTTAAATATATAGAATATTCTGTAAATATTTTAAACACATTATGCATGTATGCTACTTATCGGATACTCTATATAATACACTAATTATTATATAATTATTGTCAGTATTTTTGCAATATTTCACACTCATTGGGGATGTAATTAATTTTAATACAAAAACTTTTTTTTATATTATCGCTAATCGATCTAATAATTGCGAGTTTCTATGCTTTCATAAACATACAGTTATTTTTGATGAATAAATATATTTCTATATATTTTGTTACACTTGACGTGAAGTTTTCATTTATGTATTTATTTCTCAAACGCAAAACTACTACAAGACTTAATCCGTGCGACTATTTTGTGTAGGCATTTGTTTTTGGCGTTTGATTTTATTGACACTTCACTTGACATTTAAAATATTTTTATTAAAAAACTTTTGTCAAGGGAAAAAATCTTTTTTCTAATCCCTTTTCAAAAGCACGTAAAATGAAAATAAATAAATAAAATATAAAATTTTAAGATATAGTAAACAGAATATTCAGAATTATATTGAATAAAATAAATATGAGTTTTAATTGCAAAGAATATTCTGTATGTATTAACATTAAGCAGATTTTAACTAATACAATACATATTACATGATTATTTAATAAAATTATTATTAATATAAGAATAAAAAGTACCTATAATTTGCCGTAAAAGTAACTATAATAATAAAATGTAATTTTTCAAAAATTAATTACAATTTGTGTCAAATTAATTTTACTTTTTTTTGCTGCAATCATTTTAAACAATTATTTTTCTAAAACTTTTATTTTTGTGTTATTTTTGTTTTTATAGTCATTTATGTGGAAAGCAATAATGTTTTCTAAACTAATATTTCAATTAACACAAATATAGATATAAATCTAGTTTAGTAGGTATTGTATCGTTAAAAGCTTCCTATTCTAGCTACCGGTGCTCTCTCTCTCTCTCTCTCCCTCCTCTCCCTCTCCCTCTCCCTCTCCCTCTCCCTCTCCCGTTCCCATACCAATAAACATACTCTCAGTAGTCATACCGTTTTGAAACCAGTAAACGGATTAAAGGTATTGCTATTAAAATATCATCGCAGAGATAGTGGTGGTACTAATGAGAGCACTGGTATTCAGTAGCTATAAGTTTGCAAACATTTCTTGGAGTACCAGATGACACACTTATCAAACTATCGGTGCGTTGCCGTTGTCTCCCGAAAAACACATTACCCACACATTTATACACATTTAAGTGTATTTGTGTCGTCCGTAATGGCTATCCGATAGTAAAAGTCTTAATAATAGTATTGCTTTTGAGACACAAAAATAGGGCTCGACTTTGTCGGCAAAATCACTGTCCGTGAGAGAGAGAGAGAGAGAGAGATTAACCAAGGGTATTATATAAAATATAATCTAGGTATTCATTTATGAAATCTAATATTATCTAGTGTACCATGCTTATAATTCTGTAATACTGATTCTTTGTTATAACATTAATACGAGTGTACATAAGTAACTATACAATAGATTTAGCAAGTATTAGCCCTGGCTATATTTATGTGTCAGCTATACTTGGTTTTAATCTCAAAATAATCGGCTATTGAAGTGTCTGTAAGAATAAGACAAAGTGTGTGACAAACACTTGAAGCACCAAAAAGCTCACCCATTCATAGGAATAGACAAAACTCTTGAAAACTATATAAAAGTGAGAATTCAATGGAAAAATCAAGAGTGCATTCATTGGAAATCCATGTGTCAGTCGTTATTGCAATCTCTCTCTCTCTCTCTCTCTCCTCGGATTAGACACTCATTTACAGATCAATAGCCAAACACGTCTAAAGTCTTAAGCAGTTTATTGTATTAAATTGTCTGTCGTATACAACAGAATATATTGGAGTTGCAATTGAATAGCATTTATATAATATAATGATTAGTTTTGATATTTATTATACAAAGAGATAAATGTAATTAAATTTTTGATGATAATGTCATTAGGGCTTAACATTTGTGTGTTCAGACAAAATTTTCATTTATTTAACAAAATTAGATTTTGTTTCCAACGCCCAAGTGATGTACAAAACACATAATGTTTATAATACTATTTAACAAGGCAATGTACAGTAATAAAAAAAGTTATTTACTGTACAAATATTAATTATAATTATTTACAGCTAGCGTTTGGTAGTTATGGATTTTAGTAGCAAAAATAAAAGTTATATTTAGGATAACTTTCTATAGCATACCTGTGCGCTATTAATATAAATGAGGTCATTTTTATTTAAACGCTCAAACAATAGGGTGACAGCGATTGGTAAAGACTTCCTGAGAGAGACAATAAGTGATTGAATCGGTAGAGAGAGAGAGAGAGAGAGAGACTATTTAAATAGCATTCAATTACTGTTGCGTTTAAAATAAGCTATAAATGTATGCCTAAACACAGTGTATGTATCAGTCATTCGTGCGGTTATCATGAGATTTCTAATTATAATTTTCTATTAGGAATTCCATTAGGAGTTCCCATTAATGGGCAACTCATCCCCTCGATATACTTACCCCATGCAATGGAAACATACCGTACCATATGTTGCTTAACGCTAATTATATTTATATATCAATACTTCAATTATAACTACTTCTAGACATAAGTATCACTCAAGTAATCAAAAAAAATATTATTAAAGGATAATAATGTTTAATAAAAATATTTTATTGCTTTTATTCCTTAAGTGTTTGTAATTATAAATCTTTTTTAAATAATAACTTTTCCTTTTTAATTGTTTATTGAAATTATTTTATCATTTTTCTGACACTTTCTTAATTAAACAATTTTTAATTAACACTTAAATACAAATTCAATTAATGGACACGTGATGTCTAAATAATAATAATATTTGCGCACATTATTAAGTTAGCGTGCATAGTTTACACAACTTTTATTATAGACACACATATGAATGGCATTGTATTGTGTAGTTTACATAACCCTAAAACACTGACAAAACTTTCCTTATTTATAACAATTCAATGGATAACATAATTAACTGATAAATAATAACAACATTCCCCACGAGTTTTGAGTTTTAAAAATGTTTATTATCGCAGGTTTAGAGGTTAATGTCATAAAATTACAAAAAATTAACACAACTGCTCTAAAAGCATTTTACTCACAAAATATAACATGGTCAAATATAATATCCAGCACACAAAATCCTAATTAAATTAATAAATACTAAAATTTATTTATAGATACACATAGAAAATCACAATAAAATCTTAAAACATAATAAATATAAAAATATTTCAAATAATATTCATTATAGAAATTATTATATAGTAAAATAAATGATCTAGGATATTACACTAAATATATATTAAATTAAAAATTTAATTTTTTCATTCACCAGACCCTCAAAGCCTTTTTGCCTGACATGATGACCAGCACTCGGGGTACTACCGGCACAGACACCCCCAACAAGGGTTACGGACATCTGGTGAGCGTGGCGTCGGTGGCCGGCCTGTCGGGCAGCGTACGACTGGCCGACTACTGTGCCTCCAAGTTCGCGGCCGTAGGGCTCGAGGAGTCCCTGCGCCTGGAGCTCCAGTGCGACGGCTACACCGGCATCCGGTCCACCGTTGTCTGTCCCTACTTTATCAACACCGGTATGTTTGCCGGAGTTAGTTCCAGGTATGTGCCATAAAATTAGCTACCATTCCCCCCGTAGCCCACATTTTACATTGTTATGCGTTTTTTAATGAGTTTAATAAAGTTTTAAAGTTATATAAATATTTTTATATGTGTTTAATATATGTTAGACAATAGTGTATACCATATATGAATGCAATTGTTTTTTTTAGTGAACTCATTGGGAAATAACTGTCAATCAAATGATTTGTAATTATTTTGTGGTTTACTTAGTCTCTTGATTAATGTTTTATAATAATAGCCAGACATTCAGTTTGAATAAAATGTATTTTTCTAATAGTGTTATTATTTTTGCAACACTTTTAACCACTATTTGGTGTTAAATATTTGTTGCTTAATTATGGATTAACCTATGTAATGAGTTTTACATGAAATAGTTTTCATAACGTATTTAAGTGTCATTTTTAATATAATTGCAAAATACCTAAAACCTAATGAGTGGAAAGGTATTCACACACACATACCATGAATAGCAACTATCACACTTTAATTACAATGAATAGTTCATATTTAATTAAGGTTTTAATTTAAGGCTGTTTAGTTTAGCATACAATTAATATTTTATTTAATTTACACACATTTTTCACACAAATATTTTTTATTAATTTTTGAAATTTTTATATAAAACTATACTAAATGTTTTGTTTTGATGGTCGGGTAGTATAATACCGATTATGGAGCCGACATGGGTGGCCGACGAGATCATGGCTGCTATACTTACCAATCAGGAGGTGCTCGTTATACCCAAGCTTTTCTATACACTAGTGGCCCTTAAATCGTACGTATATTTCTGACATTTATTGCTAATATAGTCATTATATGTAATATCATATCATTCGTAACGTAAAGTAATTAAAACAGTGATAAATATCATACAAATGAAATACTTTAAATCAATTACAATGAACTACAACCCACTTGTTTTATCACTGTTTTAATGAAATTATGAATTAGTATTTAAGCAAAAAAAATACATTACATTAAAAATTCTTGCCCGCTGCTTAAAAGCTTTTGCGAGATAAAGTCATATGTATGGTGTGAATAGTCTGTTGAATATTCTATATACAGAATATTCTGTGTCATACACACTGTATGCTTCGCTATTGTTGTCTGCGATAAAAGCAATGTTTTGAAACACACAAAATATTTTTGTATTTAATTCATTGAAATTCATGACAATTCGTACGCATTTTAATATACAATTTACGTATGCCAATAATGTAAATATTACTTGGAGTTGACGGTAATTATTATTTTATGTCTTAAATATTCATTAAAATAATTGAAATTCCAGTTAGAAATAGTGAATATCTTAACAAATTAGGATAAAAATATTTTTCTAATGTATAAAATATTTTGAATAATGTAGACACAAATTAACAAAATACTTTAAATTTTACTACCGGTACAAATTCAATAATATTGAATACTATATATTCGCAAAAAGTATTAGGTTTTGAATAAAAAAAAATATCTATGAAACAACAAGTTTAATACTGTTATGCTAAACAACAGTATACTTTTGGTTTTTAAGTATAGACATTTAGGGTGAAAGTCAAGCTACTTGGGCATTTTACAAAAATGTACACAATGGGATTTGTACTATACACTACAGTATTGTCATTTAAATATCAAATGCAATACTATATATAATCCGATAAATTGTATAAACATCTTAACATCTTATGGGAAAAGTGTTTGCTTTTTATGGTGACACAATATTTGTTACATAAGATATATATTCTGTGTAACGTTATTAAACGAAAGGCAAAAGTTTTTTTCCAATAAAAAAATACATTTAATACTCGAGAATGGATTTAATTTGAAAATAAAAATCTTTATTTTACATCAAATATCACTTTACGTTTCGTAAAGAATATCCTATCGATGGAGAGAGGGATAGAGTCTTAAAACTAAAAACACTTTTATTTATTTGATTTCTTCAGTATTGACTTAAATATATCAACGAAAATATCCACAAAAATCTGATAAAATTGTTTACAAATTCTGTATTTTATATCATTGACTCTCTCT